CCCCAAAACCCCAAAACCCCAAAACCCCGGATAGGTAGGGAAATATTGAGTTTAATAAAATGTTTAATTGATAATGAAATGTTAGAGGTGAATATAGGGAAAGACTAGAAGTTATGAGATTTTAAAAGAAAATGATTAGCATAAAGAATTATCCAAAAGTTTCATTTCTTAGTTTGACATTATAAAATCCATTTTGGTGGAGAATTTTTCTCACTTTCTTCATCTCAACTCCACAACCGGTTGCTATTATTTTTCTAAGACTTAGCTTCAAATCTAGAGATGTGGCTAGTCCCTGGATTAGATTGATAAACTCTTGGGGATTACCCTCCCAGTCAGAATACTCAGGTTCTCCTACTCAAGCAAAATCAAGCTTCTCGATGTGGGTATTTTTCAGCAACTTAGAAAAGTCAAAGACTGCAGGAACTGAAATTTTGCAACAGTCTAGGAGTATAGAATGAACATGTTTATATGCTACCATCAATCTTTTAAACTGGGGAGCACTGATTCAGAAATTGGAAACCCATATTTCCCTTAGTACCCTCGAGCTGAGCCGAATGATAGTATTGAAAGTATCAGGGATTTTTAAAGAAGTATCTCTGTGAGAATTAATGCTTAATGCTTTCATCTTCTGAGGAAATGAGAAGTCTAATAAATCGACACTAAATGAACTTAGAAAATTATTTTTCTTTCCATAATTCCGATCGTGTGATGACTGAAAATCTAACTCAAGGTATGGATCGTAGTCTTCATTATTTCTGCTATCATCAGAATCCTCACAGTCCAATTCGTATGAAAAACAGTTGAAGTAATGGCTTTTACTGAGTATTTTGGAAATAATATTATCTTTGGTCAAAATCAATTTCTCTCTTCTATATAATTAAATGTAATAGGAAAAGGTTCATCACTCAAAATGATGCCAGGTGAGATCAGAATTTATTAGTGGTCTTTAGACCAAGGATTTGTTAAAAATTTAGAGAGCAGGCTTCTCTTTGTCTTGTAATTTATACCGCTAGTATATCGACCGAGTATGCCAAGGTTTAGTTCTATTGATTTTTCACACAAATAGAATGTACAAAACCCTGTTAAAACAATCCCGACGTCATCTTAAAATTTCGGATAATCTAGTTTTAAAAGCCTGAAATACGAAAAATAAGGATTTTCTGGCAGGTCCGAAGTCCTTTTTAACTCAAGCGCGGAAATTAATGCTTAACATACTAGCTTATCGGGTTATTATATCTAACCTGTAAGCTTAATGCCAGCCAATGGTTTTCAGAGGAAAGGACTGAAGTCATTTAGCCAACTCAACCAGTAGAAGGAGATAATGGGGCCACAAGTATATGAGTATATCTAAAATCTTGGGTTCACTTTACTCTATAGCTTTAGAGTAGTCTGTATCCATCTGACTGGTTGTACTCTCCATTTATTATATTTTATTTCTAATATTTATTCAGAGCTGTGGGGTTTTGGGGTTTTGGGGTTTTGGGG